ATTATAGACACTGTGGTGGGGTTAAGTACAGTGTAAGCCGGCATTCAGACTGAGTTTAAAGGTGTAAAGAAAAAAAAACACGCAGCCCTCTTCATTCATTTTTATGGGAAACTGCATTCACTGCAGCAAAACAATGCAGTCCATGTGGTGAAAAAGGTGCATGAGGTTCAACTTTTTCTGAGGCGCACAGTGACATCATCTGGTAAGCTGCTGCACTGTCCAACAAGAGCACTCAGACAGCGCATGTACCTCTGCCCATGCAAAAGGGTCCATATGAAAAATAACATTCAGAACAACAAAAAATGTATCCTACAATCCTTGATTTGGATCGGACATGGACCACTTACCTGAACACTTCAAGGTTCTTTCTTCATTATAGGCCAAGTTAAGACACAAACGATGTGTTAAATTGGGTTTTCCATGTTTAAATGGCCATGAGATCTAGAATTCGGATCAGATCCGAATGAAATTAGGTTTCGTAGATTTTGTCCATAGTCATGGACAAAAACATTGGCACCCCTGCATTTCTTTCAGAAAACACACCACTTCTCCCAGAAAATTGTTGCAATTACACATTCTTTGGTATTTTCTCCTTTTTATTTCTTTTGTTTGCATTGGAACAACATAAAAAAAACAGAGAAAAAGCCAAGTCTTATACATTCCACACAAAACAAAAAATGGACTGGACAGAATTATTGACACCTTCAACTTAATATTTGATAGCATACCATTTGGACAAAATAACTGAAATCAATCACTTCCTGTAACCATCAGTGAATTTCTTCCACCTCTCTACTGGAGTTTTTGGCCCACTCTTCTTTTGCCAACTGCTCCAGGTCTCTCAGATTTGAAGGGTTCCTTCTCCCAGCTGCTGTTTTGCGATCTCTCCACAGGTGGTCTATGGGATTTAGATGTGGACTCATTGCCGGCCACTTCAGAACTCTCCAGCACATTGTCTGAAAACATTTTTGGTGCTTTTTGAAGTCTGCTTTGTGTCATTGTCTTGCTGTAAGACCCATGACCTCTGAGAGAGACCCAACTTTCTGACACTGGGCCCTACATTGCACCCCAGAATTCACTGACAGTCTTCAGATTTCATAATGCCATCCACAGTCAACACATCCAGTACCTGAAGCAGCAAATCAACCCCAAACATCAATGAACCTCCACCATGTTTGACTGTAGAGGCTGTATTCTTTTCTTTGAAGGCCTCATTTTGTTTTCTAAAATGCCCAAAAAGCTCTATTTTAATCTCCTCTGTCCACAGCATATTCCCCCAGAAGGGCCGTGGCTTCCTCAGGTAAGTTTTGGCAAACTCCAGTCTGGCTTTTTTATGCTCCTCTGTTAGCAGTGGGGTCCCCTGGGTCTCCTACCATAGTGACCCTTGTCATTCAGATGGTGATGGATAGTGCAAGCTGGCACTGTTGCACCCTACGCCTGCAGGTCAGCTTGAATTTGTCTGGAAGTTGATCAAGGTTCTTTATCCACATCTATGCATTTGCTTAGATTTAAGAAACCCACATTACTCCATCAAATCAACAATCAAACTATTCAAGTAAGTAAAGAAAAATATCAAAAACAAGTTATGATAACTTTATTCAAAACTTGTTTTGTCACAGTCAAGGGGGGCAGAACTATGGCGCAACCAACAAGTGTGACAGAAGTAGCATTTTACAAAAACAACAATGAGGTGATGCTGCCTGTCCTTGAACACACCAAGTACGTAGATCCCTCCTCACCCATAGACACCATCTCAAACATCCTTATCCATAGATCATTTTCTGAAAATAACAAACACAAAATAAAATGCAAGCACAATCATTAAATTGCGCACATATTCTACTGTTCTTAGTCTTGGTTGAAATACATTCTATTTTAGTTCAGGTTTTTAAAAATCCTTACCTGTGTGTTTTCTGGCCAGATGTCTAACAGTTTTCCCTTGGCCAGTGTGTCAGCGTCTGGTTTTAGGTCTTGTGCTATGGCAATCCGCAAAACAGCATGGAGGTTGTCATTGATAATGCGTGATCTGTGTTTGATCTTGTTTAGATTCATTATTGAAAACATCTGTTCGCACAGATAGATGCTCCCAAACATGGACAGATCATGAGCACCATAAAGTCGGAGCTGTGGCATCAAACCAGGGGCCAGTGGATGGTAAAAGTCCTCGAATGCAGCATCCTGGAACTTTGCTCTCAGGCCACTATTGCTTTGAAGCTGAATTAACTCCATCTGAAGGTGATGGGGCACACTGCAGATGTTGGCGGTGAAAGGATCGGCAAAGATGGCAAAATCAGAGTGCTGTGCTTTAAAGTCAGAGAAGCGCCGATCAAACTCATTCATTAACTGGTTCAGTTTGGTAGCCAACTGAGCACATGAAAAAGCGCCGGGAACTGAGGCTGAGATACTCTGACAAACAGGAAAGTGGGCGAGATTTTCCTGTTCCACCTGACACTTCCATAGGTCGAGTTTACGCTGGAAAGCTGTGATCATGTCGGACATCTGTGTGATGACTTTTTTATGTCCCTGCAGCTTCTGATTCAGTTGAGCGAGATGCTTGGTTATGTCACGCAACATAACAAGGGTTTTCCTTTGCTCTGCATGAAACGAGCAATTTCTTCCCTAAGCTAAAAAAAAAAAAATCATTTGAGGACTTTGCTCCTACTCGGCCACCTTGCTTTTGTATAGTACGGCATGTCTCCATGCTCCATGCCCACCTCCTGCAAGAACAGCTCGAACTGGTGGTGATTCAGGCCATGAAACTGGATAAAGCTCACTGTTTTCATGACCATGGTCATTATATCATCCAGCTCCAGAACCTTTCTGCACAGAGCTTCTTTATGGATAATGCAATGATATGTTTTCAGAGGCGTGTGACAGTTACCTTTTTGTAATTTCTCCTTCATTAATCAAGCCTGTTTTCCTCCACACATCGCAGGCACACCATCTGTAGTTAGTCCCACCAACTTTTCCCAGGTCAATTTATTTTTACTTACGGACTTCTTCACTGAATCAAAAATGTCCCGGCCCGTTATGGCCCGCCACAATAATTCCAATTCGAAAGAAGCCCCACCCAACCAGTTACAATGACTATCGGCCTCTAGCACTGACTTCAGTTATTATGAAGTGCTTCGAGCGGCTGGTCATGGAGAACGTTGAGTCCATCCTTCCTCCCTCCTTCTCACAACCCATTTCAGTTTGCATACAAGTCAAAAAGGTCCACAGAGAATGCCAAGCTCCACAGAGGATGCCATTACTGCTGTTCTCCATACAACCCTCACCCATCTAGATTCAAAGAACTCTTACATGCAAATGCTGTTCCTAGACTTCAGTTCAACATTCAACACAATAATTCTCCAGCAGCTTACACAAAAACTTGGACACCTGGGACTCAAAACCTCTCTCTGCAACTGGGTGCTGGACTTTCTAACAGGGAGGCCACAAAATGTGTGGGTCGGCAGCAACATCTCGAAGACCATCACGCTGAGCACAGGGGTGTGTGCTCAGCCCATTGCTCTTCACACTGCTGACCCACGGCTGTGTGACAACCTACAGCACCAACCACATTGTCAAGCTTGCAGATGACACGACTGTAGTTGGCCTCATTACCAACAACGATGAGGCCAACTACAGGAGTGAGGTGTGCCAACTGGTCCAGCGGTGTAAGGACAACAACCTCTTCCTGTTATGGTGTAGTCCCCCTCACCAGGAGGGTGAGGGAGAACTGAGGTAGGACTCAAGTTTGCAGATCCAGGTGCTAGTAGAAAAAGGGTGGTTTAATGGAAAAAAACACAAAGTAACAACGTAACAAAGTCCATGTACATATACAATCCGGGTAGGACAGAGATGGCTGAGGAGATTAGGACGAGCAGATGAGTAGGAGGATTGCAGGAAACAGGAGAGTAGAGGACCAGGACAAGGCAGGCGAGTAGACAGGAGAACGGCGACAGGTGAGATGACAGGAGGGACATAGGAATGAGAAGAACAGGGCTAGTGTAGCGTTCGCTGTAGCGCTAGCCGTCCGGTACCTACGGCTGGGAAAATCACTGTCAGGTACTCATGGCTAGGAAAGTTCAGAGGTAATCATGGCAAGATACACATGGCTAGGAAAGTACGCCAGAGGTAATCATGGCATCGCCGTCAGATACACATGGCTAAGAAAGTTCACCAGAGGTAATCACGGCATCGCCGTCAGATACACATTGCTAGGAAAGTTCACCAACATGAGTGGCCCTATCTAACACAAAAACAAAAAAAAACAAAAACCTCGCTGTTCACTCAAACTGTCACATACTACCTCAACATGTCCATGTCTAACATAGTGTAAGTTAGGTAATGCTCCGGCGATGACGGAGCGTCTGCCAGCGGTTTAAATAAGGTAGGGAAGTCATTACAATAACGCACCTCAGCTGTCAACCCCCGAGTCACTAATTACAGTAAGCAACACAGCTGAGGCACTGATCCCATAAAAAAGAGAAAGCAGCCAATCTCATGAAAATGACCAAGATTTACATAATTGTGGAGTAAGGAAGTCAGCTTATGTACATCACTGGCCAACAAGGCTCAAACACGCCTCTACTTCCTCTGCAAACTGAGGAAAGCTAGTGTCCCACCACCATCATGCACTCTTTCTACCAGGGCACCATTGAGAGCTTCATCACTGGCTGCATCACTGTGTGGTACAGAGCCTGTACTGCCTCCTGCAGAAGGACTCTGCAACGCATAGTGAAAACAACCAGCAAAATCATCGGTGCCCTTCTGCCTTCCCTTATGGACATCTTCAACACCTGCCTCACCCGCAGAGCCATCAGCATTGCTGATGACACCTCCCACCCTGCAAACTCCCACTTTACACTCCTGCCTTCAGGGAGAAGGTATCGGAGTCTTCAGGCCCACTCCACCAGACTTACAAACAGCTTCATCCAGCAGGTTATGAGGATGCTGAACACTGTTCACTACCTCCCCCCCTCCACCCCTGGACCGTAACCCACCACAGAACATAAAAAGACTAGCCCTGCTGTTTGCACAAACTCAATACATTCCCTTTGTTATATTACAGGTAAATCTGCTGCTGACTATTGCGGAAACAAACACACACACACACACACACACACACACACACACACAAAAACTACCTGCTGTTTTACCTTCCGTTAGATTATATGTAAACCTGCTGCCATCTTTTTTTGCCAGGATATCCGCTGCTGTTGGTCATTTGCAATACTGTCCATGTATACCTCATATGCTATTTGCACATAATCACCAACGCCCTGGTGATGCTGAACCATCTGACAATCTCTTATTATTTGGGGAGGCGATAGTGTAGTGGGTAGAGCAGTCATCTCCCAACCGGAAGGTTGAAGGTTTGAATCTCGGTGCCTGCAGTCAAAGTGTCCTTGGGCAAGACACTGAACCCCCCAATGGTTAGAGCCATCAGTTGAGTTGGCGCCGCAAATGGCTGCCTCAGTTCTGTACAGGAAGCAAATTCCTTGTGTGTAACATACTTGGCCAATAAAGGTGATTATCCTTATTATTGTTTTGCACTACTACAGTCAGTGATGACTGTACTCGGTTTTGAGTCAGCTTATTGGCTGTACTGTACTGATTTATCCTAATTACGTTAATCAAGTTCTTATTCTATTTTTATTCTACTTTATTCTATTTTAGTTCCTAAATGTTATGGCACCCAATACTAGGTGAGAGAGAAACGATATTTAAATTTTCTGTATGCCCTGCACATATGGGGAATTGACAATAAAATCCTTGAACCTTGAAATGTTTCATTGTTACAAACGTTCAATATGGTAACACGTCTTTGCACACCATAATTTTTGCTACTGCAAATACTGTGGCTTTGAAATTAAACAACAAAACTGAATAGTCCTCGCAATCAAACTTTCCATGTCATGAAATTATTTCTGACTTTCTGGGGTAAATCGTCGGGATTTTTCTGACAAAAAAAATGAAAATGTATTTGCCATTGCTAATCCTGACCAATCCTCTCTGTGTTGTGGTTAATACTTATAAATAATTAATGAAGTTTATGCTGCATAAATGCACACAAAAATTTTGGAGAGGATATGGATCCCTCTGCTGTGTGACAGTTATTTTATAAATTCAAAGGAAAGACACCTACAGTGCAAGAAGCTGCAAGCAACAGACAGAACTGCTGCTCCTCTTAACGTTTTGATAAAAACCTGGACTACATTCAATTGCATGAGGAGATATTATTAGTGATATTCATTAATCTAATCTGTTAGACTCATCTTTCTCGCATTACAAGTTGTAGTTTCTGGACTTCTTCATCTGTAATAGCTATGAGGTTGCAATGCGCAGTGAAATATGGAAAAAAGTGTAATGTTTAGACATTGTCCTGTGTGCAGAGAAAGCCTATTTTCCCTAATAGCTAAAAGATCGGCTTCAAGGCTTTCTCTCATTTATTTTGGCAGAATGACAGTGTGACATCTTGATTTATGGCAATCAAATATTATGGAAACAGAACAGAAATATGCACTATGCAAATGTTTTCTAGTAGGCTACATCACCTTTCTTTCACCTGTTTTGATGACAGAATTACCTTAATGGCAATAACTATTTGTACAAAATGCCATCCATTCATCACCACTCTCTGCAATCTAACTTTAAGTTTTTGCCTGTCATTTTTGACCAAAGAATTTTAAGTCTTTAAACTTATTTTTGCTTTTGCTTATGACTTAGCATTTAAACAATAAAAAAACCCATACTTTTATCAAAAATATTTTATTATTTCTAGAAAGAAACTTTAAATAGCAAAAAATACAACAGCATCATCTCTAATGGCAATAACATTCAGATTAGAAAATAAGTAAAAGTAGAGCAAAGGGGTGCTCCCATATTTGGGTTTGTCTTACCCCCCCCAAATCACTAAATCAAAAATCCCCAGCTGGTAGTTAATGATGCCACTCACATTGACACGACTGAATCATACACACCTACATGACACCCCCCTACAACCCTTGTTTAATCCCCACCCCATGCAGTTCTGCTGCAAGGGGTTGCCATTCACTGCACTCATGCCCCCTTCAGTCACAGTACCCACAAATTTGCAAGCTATGTGTAGCTATGCAGCAGTTACCTTTTTGGCATTCAGCTGCTGTACATGAAATTCCCAGCAAGGCTTTGTTTAAACAGTAGGATTTAGCC